GTCCATTCTGCCTGGACAAAGGAATTTCCCAGATGAGCACCCCAACCGAACTGACTGGCATCTGTCGTGATGACTACCCAGTCGACTTCCTTCAAAGGAAAACCTCTGGAGATGTTTTCTTCTTTCATCCACCAATGAAGCTTCCTTTTCAGGCTGAGAGGAATGTGGATCTGCTTCTCCCAGTCGTCTGAGCTGGATTTGAAGTTTTTCAGGAGATGCTGCTGAAGAGGACGAAGATTCCAATGCGCCCATCTGACCAGGTCTATAGTAGAGGTCAGGGTACCCAGGAGTTTCATAAACTCCCTTGCGGAAGCAGAAGCCTTCTGAAGAAAAACCTGCATACGATCCTGCAGCTTCAATTTTCTTTCTTGGGCGAGAGATACCATCGCATTGAGGGTATTGAAGCATGCTCCTAAGAACACCAGCTCCCTTGAAGGTTTTAAATGACTCTTCTCGTGGTTGATTAGCCACCCAAACCGAGAGAGAGTCTCGAGTACTAGATGTCTGTGTTGGAGTAACATCTCGAAGTCTGAGGCCACTACCAGAATGTCGTCGAGGTAGTGGTAAATGGCTACATCCATCTTCCTCAGGAAAGCAATTACCGTGACCAGTATCTTTGAGAAGGTTCTCGGGGCCGTACTTATCCCAAAGGGAAGAGCCTGAAACTGGAAGTGCTCCCCTTTTACACAGCATCGAAGAAACTTCTGATGTCTTTCTGTGACCGGAACATGGAAGTAGGCATCTTTTAGGTCTATTGAGATTAACCAGTCTCTGTGGTGAATCACTGGAATGATGGAACGGATGGATTCCATACGAAACTTTCTTATCCTTAAGAAGATGTTGAGCTGGTGTAGATCTAGAATAGGTCTCCACTTTCCTCCTGGTTTCTTTACTAAGAACAGGGGAGAATAGAACCCTTGGAACCTTTCTTTCACAGGAACCGGAACAATGACCCTTTCCAGAAAAAGATTGGCAACATAATGGGTCAAGACTTCTCTTTTTTGTCTGTCGACAGGGAGTCTTGTTCTGATGAATCTTGGTGGAGGGGAAATATCTTCGAACTCCAGAGAATATCCTGCGGTGATTACGGAATTCACCCAAGCATCTGGAATCACACTCCAGGTCCTCCAGAAGAACGAAAGGCGTGCTCCTACATGGGGAACCTGGTATAAGCCACCTTCAGAACTGTCTGGTGGGGCGAAAGGAGGAATTTTGAGCCTTTGGTCTGGAAGATTTCCCGGTTTGACCACTCTTCCAATTGGAGAGCCGAGCATATTCTCTGCCTGGACGATAGGTTTTACTATCTCTATATCCTCCCTGTGGCCTGTAAGGACGATGGTCCTGTTGTGGTCTTTTTGGACGCCTGTCCTGTGGAAGCAAGATTTGCTTGACCTCAGCCGCTTTTTTAATCGCCTCCTCAAGTGGTCTGCCAAAAAGCACCTCTCCCAGAAATGGCAAGGTACATAAATTATTCTTGGAAGATAGGTCAGCTCCCCAGGATCTCAACCAAAGAGCCCTTCTGGCAGTAACCGAATGAGCCATAACCTTGGAAAAAATCCTGATAAGATCTGTGGAGGATTCCAACAGCCAATCACTGGCCAGTTTGATCTCCTTCAAGGAGTCCGTCATGCGACGTCTACTCACTCCTCTCTCAATATCCTCTTCCAAATCAAGAATCCATGAACGTAATGCTCTGGACAAAGCAGAGATAGAGACTGCTGGATGACAACCCAAGCCTGCTGTAGTGAAGACCTTAGAAAGATCTGAGTCAATTCTTTTATCCATGGGTTCTTTGAGAGAAGCATTACTATCAATCGGAAGAGTTGATCTTTTTGCCACCTTAATAATTGGAGCATCCACTTTAGGGACCGCTGTCCACATTCTTGAATCCTCCTCCTTAATCGGGTACAATTTTGATAATCTACCCTGACTTGTAATCCTTTTACCAGGAACATTCCATTCTGAGCGAATCAGTTCTTTAATGGATCTGTGCACTGGAAAGGAAGGTTTCCTCTTATGGAGATCTCCGAAGTGTCTATCAGAAGTAGAAACTTCCCTGACTTCTTCTGGCAAATCTAGAGTCTTTCTCACTGCCTTGATTAGATGCTCCATCGCCTTTGTGTCCAATGAACACGGTTGTTCCGTGGACTCTTCCTCACTAGAAGAGATAAGCTCCAAATCCAAGGAACCAGCAGGATGTCTGAAGTCATCTTCAGATAGGTCGGATTCTTGGCCAAAGCTCTCACGCCTGGGTCTTTTGCCTCTATTGGATTCTGAAATCCCTTCCGCCACTGCTTGCTTAATCCAATAAGCTATATCCTGAGATGAGGACGTAGAGGCTTGAGGAGACCTGCGATGTTCCGACTCTCCTGCAATCATGGATAAACATTTGCGGCATAACCTGCAGTTATCCAAAGGCCTTGCGCCACATCCAGGGCAGGCCGCCGGTTTATCCCTCCTCTTAGATGGAGATCTAGGGCCAGACCGGTCTTGAGGGCTGTAAAACACAGAAGTCATATGACTGTACCCTCCATGCACTCTTTTTTAATGTAGTAAATAGAATATACTGTAATGCTCACCTATGACCTATAGTAGATCTTGTTGATTTAGCTGATGGAGATGCAGGATCCATTTTTTTATTTATTTTTATAGAAGGGCTGCATAAAAAAAAAAAAAGTGTCACCATGAACTTCATGCAGCAAAAACCTGAACATCCTCATATATTATAGAAGAATAACTTAAAACATACCTGCAGAGACAGAATATGGCACCAGAGAGCACTGAATAACAGAGGGAACTGAAAACGCCAGCTTTTTTGAAGAAATACCGCCATTTTCAAATTTCCCGCTCTGTGCCTTTAAGGAGGCGCGCATGCGCCGATTGGCGGCAAGTCCGCTGGTCCGCCATTTTGGATGAGGGCAAAACATGCCGAAAATCCGGTCGTGGCCATTGCGCATGCGCGGGCGTCTTACCGGATAGATGATCGTCTGATCGAGGTCTGGAGGCTTTATCCTGCGAACTCAGGCTCCAGATGCCAGGGGGACTACCCACCATGGCTCCCAGGGGTTCCCTGCTCGAGGAGAGAAAGGGCTACATGTGCCTGGGCTTCCTGTGGAGGGAGGCTGACCTCCACAGGGTGAAGATCATAGCAGCATGATCAGGTGAGCATAAAGAAAAACTTTACCCTTTAAAATTCAGGGAGAAAAAATAAAATAACAACTGTCCTAGGGCTATGAGGACAGGAAAAAAAGACTGAGGTGTGATGGCTGATGGGGTTCCTATTATACAAGGGGAAGGTATGCTTAATTGTTTAATTGATTGTGTTTCCTGTCCTGAGGGTTAGAGGGAGGAGCTAAACCCATATGTTAAATGCTGCCATGATTAGCCAGGAAATCACATTTTCATTTAGATCAGGTGCATTGTTTACCTGTGGCAGAGATGGCAGCAGGATGCACTATGAGAAGAATGCAGGCCAGTGGAGGCTCAAAGTATAGTTCTTCTGACAATCCTTGGGTCCTGGCAATCATGTGGATATTACTTTAACATGTACCACCTACCTAGAGAGTGTTACAGGCCACATACACCCCTTCATGACAATGTTGTTCCTTAATGGCGGTAGCCTCTTTCAGGGGGATAATGCAACTGCCACACTACAAAAATTGTTCAGGAATGATTTGAGGAACATGACAAGGAAATGTGCAAGGTGTTGCCTTGGCCTCCAAATTCCCCAGATCTCAATCCAATTTAACATTTGTGGGATGTACTGGAACAAATCCGATCCATGGAGGCTCCACCTCGCACCTTGCAAGACTTAAAGGATCTGCTGCTAATGTCTTGGTTCCAGATACCACAGGACATGTTCAGAGGTCTTGTAGAGACCATGCCTTCGATGCATCAGAGCTGTTTTGGCAGCACAAGAGGTATCTGTCTGATCAGTGCATATATCGTTTCTTTTACTGCTCTTCCTTTTTATACTTCTACTTTCCCTTCATAATTCATTATACAGCAAATATATACATAATATTTACATTATGTATATATCTTGGTAGTACACTGATTAGTCCATCTGTCTGTCTGTCTATCTATCTATCTATCTATCTATCACACCTGATCTCTTGGAACACATATCTAACCCACTGAATTAAAAAAGGATTTAACACATTCCTTACCAACTCTGGCATTTTAAGGAAAGATTTTAGAAAATTATGACTGGTGTCTTGCTATCTTTCAAACTGCAAGATTCTGTCCTAAGCTCTCTCTTTTTAAAATTTCTGATAATAAGAGCCACAGACTTAGCACACGAGCGATGTCTGCATTTTTATTTAATTTGAGTGATACAGCAAGTTCTACATGTGTTCCATGGTAATGAGTTTTTTCTTTCCTGATAGATGTTTAACGTTTATCCAGCATTAAATCCTTAACATTTGTGCAATAAATATGCTGCATCAGAATTATTACTCAGAACTTCCCTGTTAGATATTAAGCTGCAATCCACACACAGACTATTGCTTGCTCTTTACAGATAGCGAATGTTTAATCCAAAAGACCAAATTTAGACCATGCATTCCCTTTCCTGGGCATCTTGATTGAAGTAAGAATATTGCCCTGTTTGAGCTGTGGATTTACAATTTTAAACCATCTCTTAGAGGCAGGTGCTTGCAGTGAGATAAGGGAATGTGTGAGTGTCTGTGTGTTTGCTGGTGGGATAATAGACGTATTAACATACATAATGCTGCTGAATTAAAGTGACAGAGCATGTCTTAAAATAATTTATAATTCACACAAGGTCATTTGGATTATTCCTTTTTTCTAACTAATTTCAGATATAAAAACAAAAAAATCTCAAAGGAGCAGGAAAGAAGCTACATTAATATCACTGCTGCCGATAAAAAATAATAATATTAATACAAAGTAAGCTTTGGTACAATTGCTCTATCTATCTATCTATCTATCTATCTATCTATCTATCTATCTATCTATCTGTCTATCTATCTGTGTCTGTTTGTCCATGTGCTTTGATGTGTAATGAAATATATGTACTCACATTGCTCCATAATAGATATCCATAAAATTGATAAAATCAGTGATTTTTATTTAATTTATCCCCCCACCAGTTTCTTTGGAGGAACAGTTTTGTGATAAAATTGGAAAGAAATCTAAGCTACACAGGGCTCTGACTCGCTCAGTGATGAACGGGAAGTGATAAAAAGGAAGAGCAAAGAACTGGAGGTAAATGTACATTTTGGGTTGTATGTATATCATGATACCAGGGTAATCTAGCTCTTTGCAAGCAGTAGTTTGCTGAATTTTAACTACAAACCCCACGTTTCCCCAATGGACCATCAGGGACTCAACATCCCCTCTCTACCACCAGGCAGAGTTAGCCCCTGCTGGACAACAAGTGTGTTTGCACCCCCATTAGGCCATCATTGAAGAAAGCCAAGCAGAAGGGGGATATCCAGGGCATAACCATATACATAACGTTCAGCCACCACACACCACACACACATCACATACAGTATACAAATCTTTTTCTCTAAATACCAGTTATCTAAATTACACACAACTTACACTTCTGAAAATCATTCATTGACTTTTGTTCAAGATTCATTGAGTTATTCACCAGGTGGACAAAGTGCAGTTAAAATGACCGCATTCCAATTTTGCTACATATGGCATAGTGTGGGGAAATAGTTGACAAGGCATAGGAAAGCCTCTATAAGGGTTTTTCGAGCTACCGGAGCTCAGTCTGCGAGGAGCCTTCAATGGGTCAGTATAATTTAATTTTATTGTAGTGTGTTTTACATTTTTTTAGTCTGTTGTTTTATTCTGCAAATCAGATTCTTTTATTTTCATTGGTAAAGCTGAGATTTTTAAAAATTTTAATTTTACTTTTTTTGGTGTTAGGATCAATTATGTATGATTTTTGGCTTCCCAGTCACTAGGGATTAAATATTTAGTCCAGCCGCATCATAGGAGGGGGCATAAGGAGGTGAAATACCTCCATTATAGTAAAATGGGTGTCTTATTTACCCACGTAGGATTTTGATTTATTCATTTTTAAAAAAAAAAAAATTCTCATGGCGGCTGAGGTTTTTCATTTAACTAAAGCACTGCCAGCCATCCAGCAACTTTCAGTCTGGCTGATATCTGGACCAAATTCAGGCCAATTTAGTGCCTGTATTATGAAATCTGGACGTTGTTAAAAGCATGAACAGTATCTGAATGGCCCTGTATTCAGCTGGATGGTTTTGTCCCATTCAGTACGAGGTACAATTAGATTTTAGGGAATAACCCAAAGAATGAGACAGATAATTCTATGGCAATAATCATTAAATTCATTAAATGCTCTGTTCCATTTCAAATCAAAATTCAATCCTATGTTGCTGGGCCTACCCTTTCGTCTGCTCATAACTAGAGGTGATACTACAGTTTTTGGTGACACAGAGTCTGAGCAAAGAATTCAACATTTACAACTGATGCAAGACACTCTACCTGGTGCTATTGGTTCCGTATACCCAACATTCACAGATGAGACATGACAAGGGAAATCTCCTTGGTACTGTCACACTCTACTAAAACAAGCAAGTGTACATTAATTGCTGCATGAGGCCCGTCTGCTCATATATAATTATACCTGTTTTTTTTTTTTTCCTTATTTTATTTTCTTTTATTATTTTGGGGCATTAAGGGTTATATATATATGTATGTCTTTTATTATATGGTCAGCCAACAAATTAAACAAAATGACAGCAAAAACAAGCCATAAGGGAGATTTATCAAAGCAAACAAAGATATTATACTGAGACAAAGTGCTGAATAAGGAGCGTAAAAATGGAAACCAATGGAATGTCTCTAAACATTTACCAAGATTTCTCCAACACAGCAACTGTTTTGTAGATACACTGTACAAAATTATAAACGCAACACTTTTGTTTTTGCCCCCATTTTTCATGAGCTGAACTCAAAGATCTAAGACTCTGTACACAAAAGGCCTATTTCGCTCAAATATTATTCACAAATCTATCTAAATCTGTGTTAGTGAGCACTTTTCCTTTGCCGAGATAATCCATCCACATCAAAGGTGTAGCATATCAAGATACTGATTAGACAGCATGATTATTGCAAAGGTATGCCTTAGGCTGACCACAATAAAAGGCCACTCAAAAATGTGCAGTTTTATCACATAGCACAATGCCATAGATGTTGCAAGTTTTGAGGGAGCGTGCAATTAGCATGCAGACTGCAGGAATGTCCACCAGAGCTGTTGCCCATGAATTGAATGATCAATTATCTACCATAAGCAGTCTCCAAAGGCATTTCAGAGAATTTGGCAGTACATCCAACTGGCCTCACAACCGCAGGCTACGTGTAACCACACCAGCCCAGAACCTCCACATTCAGCATCTACACCTCCAAGATCATCTGAGACCAGCCACCCGGACAGCTGCTGCAACAATTGGTTTGCATAACCAAAGAATTTCTGCACAAACTGCCAGAAACCATCTCAGGGAAGCGCATCTGCATGCTCGTCATCCTCATCGGGGTCTCGACCTGACTGCAGTTTGTCATCGTAACCGACTTGAGTGGGCAAATGCTCACATTCAATGGCGTCTGGGACTTTGGAGAGGTGTTCTCTTCACGAATGAATCCCAGTTTTCACTGTACAGGGCAGATGGTAGCCAGTGTGTATAGCGTCGTGTGGGTGAACAGTTTGCTGATGTCAGCATTGTGGATTGAATGGCCCATGGTGGCAGTGGGGTTATGGTATGGGTAGGCTTATGCTATGGACAATGAACACAGTTGCATTTTATTGATGGCATTTTGAATGCACAGAGATACCGTGATGAGATCCCAAGGCCTCATCCACGACCATCACCTCATGTTGCAGCATGATAATGCATGACCCCATGGTGTAAGGATCTGTACACAATTCCTGGAAGCTGAAAACATCCCAGTTCTTGCATGGCCAGCATACTCATTAGACATGTCACCCATTGAGGATGTTTGAGATGCTCTGGATAAGCTAATACGACAGCATGTTCCAGGTCCTGCCAATATCCAGGAACTTCGCACAGCCATTGAAGAGGAATGGACCAACATGCCACAGGCCACAATCACCAACCTGATCAACTCTATGCAAAGGAGATGTGTTGCACTGCGTGAGGCAAATTGTGGTCACACCAAATACTGACTAGTTTTCGGACTCCCCTGAACCCTCTTAATACAGTAAAATTGCACATTTTAGAGTGGTCTTTTATTGTGGCCAGCCAAAGGCACCCCGTTGCAATAATCATGCTGTCTATAATCAGCATTTTGATATGTCACACCTGTGAGGTGGATGGATTATCTTGGCAAAGGAGAAGTGCTCGCTAACACAGATTTAGACAGATTTGTGAACAATATTTGAGAGAAATGGGCCTTTTGTGTATAGAGAAAAAGTCTTAGAGCTTTGAGTTCAGCTCATAAAAAGTTGGGCAAAAACAAATGTGTTGTGTTTATAATTTTGTTCAGTGTATATATTTTTCTCCATGTCTACACTGTAAGATATAGCTCTGTAAGATGTAGTCAGGACTTAGAGGTGTTTACACTTCCTCTCTCCCCAATTCATGTAGGTCATCTGGTCAATAACTAAAGGTAAAATCTGATATAAATCTGGAGAGAAAATCTCTATACATCTTTGGGCACAATATGTTTAACAACATCATATGATTTAAAATGAATGAGAGAGTTAGGCTTTAAGTCACAGACTGTTGCCAGGGAAACAGAATTTGTGACCGTTCTTATAACCATAACAGCAGTAAAATGCCCTTCAAACTTGATGCTCCCAGCGGAAATCAAAATACAACTAGTATTAGCTGAGAAACCAAATGTTCTCTATTCTATCATTCTATTTAAACTATGTTTTTACAATTAGAAATCATTTGTAAAAAGCAGTGAATTAATTTAACTTTTTTATTTCAGCTAATGTATTCATAATATTCTCTGTTATCTCTCTTCCATTTGCCATTGCACAATTACAAAAGAAATATGATACAATACATAAATAGAAACTAGTGGGTGTGGGAGGATAATAGATCAGTACCTAGGAAAGCGTCATTGTAGTACAATGGTATGTAAACAACTGTAAACATGCATTTTATTGAGAATTATCCATTAATCTATTTTAAAGACATATTTGCTTGGCGATGCATATTGTTTACGTGCAATTAGGAAATATAATGCTTCTCATACTCAAAGAGAAACAAAACCCTTGTGGTTGAGGTTAGAAGGTGTGTTAAATGAAAACTCAAATATTCTAGAAAAATACAATAATAGAAAATCCCATCTTATACCATTCTAGTTCACTGATTATTTTGTTGACCTGCCATAAACAGATATGCGTGGATGCATTAATTTGTTTTATGTTGAATCTGATGTGTTATCTATCACAAAGAGTGCTCTTTGGGTGGTGATGTAAGTTATCTGTGTTCACTGTTGACTGTTTTTGTAATGTGTTGTGTAGTTGCATGCACATAACTTTGGGGGTATTCATTTTCATCTGGTATTGTAAAAAGTTAAAATGCCATAAATCAGATAATATTTTTAGTGCATGTGCATGGATTTAATTACAATGAGGTAGATGCATTTGGCATTATAAAGATGTGTTTCATTCAGGTCCTTGCATAGTACCAGGCATTGAATAGGATTATTTTTCCCTACAGACTTAACATAATTGCATTTTGGATTTGTCATGTTTTCTGTGAGCTTGTTTCTATGTACTTAGTATATTCTGTTTCATGTGTGCAGATAGTCAACTCGATGTATTTTTGGTGATACCTGGTCATCTCATTAAATGGAAAGAAAAAAACATTTACGAACATTTTAAACTTTGTTTCTTTTGAGTGGGAGACCAACTGCCAGCGCCACTTACACCAAAATCAGTGTCGATACTTGTGCAGTGCAATTTACTCCACAAATAAATGCTGCACCATCTTCTGAGTCTGCTCAGCCCATTGTGGGTGGTAGCATTGAAAGAGGTAGTGGCTAAGGTGGTAGATCTGTTGGTACACTTCACTTCAGATTTATCACGTTTCTTCGGTCAAGCATGCCTTCCTTTCCTTAAGGTTGTAGTGGGTATGGTTGTAGTGGACAAGCTCCAAATGTAGCAGCATGGCAGTCTGGGACTGGATCTGTAGAGCAGCATAGCAATTGATCACTTCTGCTACAT